TGAGCAGAGACTTTGAAGTCAACACATTTTCCCTTCCAGCTGGTGTCACCCATCACAGTGCTGATGCAAAGTTGTTCTTCACGGCCAGGAATATTCAACTTGTCAACAACAGACTGCAGGACCATTGTCCTCTCCGCACATTCATCTAACACGCCGAAGGTGTCAATGCCACCTGAAGGCCCATGCACAGTAAGTGGCACAACTTTGATCAAAACATCACGCATGAAGTCCACTCTAGGGGTAGGCCCTACCCCTAAACACATTACTGCTTCCTTAACTATGGGTTCAGAAAGTTCGTGGAGGCTGGTGCGGTGGTCACCTTTGCATTCTTTACACTTTTTAGGATACACACATTCCTTCTCATGTTTCTTTGCACGTTTTTTACATTGTTGGTTTGTCTTCAACCACTGCAACTTCTGTTCTCTTGTCAGGCCCTGAAATTTTTGACAAGTTTCGAGGTAGTGGCCCGATTCTCTGACTTTGCAATACAAACAGCTAATCCTCTCTGGAGTCATTGCAGATGCATTGCTTTCACTCGGGGCTTTGGTTTCAGTAGCATTCTTCTTTCTGACTGCTGATGCAGTCGCTGCTGACTGAGGACTGGCTTTGGCCATGTAAGATCTGGATGGATACGGTTGGTTGGATGGAGACGTCTTTTGCCCCTGACTCCGCTATTGTGAAAACTCCCTGGGGGACTTTAACTTGTTCGCCTTTTCTAGGAGGATCAAACCAGCTGGGCCAGTCTTCTTCTTTAACCATCGAGTAAGACCATGTACTGTTTATCTCATACCATGGCCTTGATTCCACATTTTGGACAGGAATTCTGAGTGAAGCCTCTCAGGCAATTTTTTGACAAGCTCAGTGGCATAGCGGTGGTGCTTCAGCTCATCACTAAAGTCCAATTTTTCAGCTGCTTCTACAGTTGTGGCCAGCTCATCTGAGAAGTCACGGAGTCCAGACCAATCATTGTACGCAAGGACAGGACGGGCCTCTAGCTGATTGAGTAGGCCTTGGACTATCCGTGCAGGATCCCCATATGCCTTATGCAACTGCTTCATTGTCGCTGCATAGCGGGTTTGTTTCTCTCCCCATTTCTAGAAAAACTAACTACAAACAACTCAGAGATCAAACTGCAAGAGGATGAAGAGAACCTTTAGAACAATTTTAAACAGGTTACAGTATGCTAAACATATGCATAACACAGGACCCCGATTGTGAATCTCAACATCTTGCCTGCAGTGGCTCAATGCACGGTTTTCACTGTGGTGTTGTAATGGACATATCCAAATTGGCACTTGGCCCGGATGACTGCTGAGTATGCGCCGTAGTAGAAACCATTTAAGCATCTGTTGACTTGTCGGGGTGCATCATGGGCAGATGGCATGCCCTACCACAGCAGATACGTCTCATGTACGGAGCCAGGGACGTACGAACTTCTTCACGACTAGCACAAAACAGGATGAACACAAAAACACCCTGCAACCGAAGCAAACGATTGCAACCCTTCAAGTGGCCATGCAGTAGCGAGCTACCACAAAACATTGCTGAGTCCATCACAAGTCACAGTTCAAACTGCACAACGAGCATGCGCAATTCCACGTTGCTAAACACAGGATGACTTGTGATGGGCTTAGTGATGGAGTTGACTACATCCTTAATTTAATAAAATAAATCCCTGCGACGCATTTTCATTTTGTATGAAAATACTTCAGTGATTGTTCTCTAGGCCTGTACAGCTCGTAAAACCCGCAAAAAGTACATCGAAGAACCGTCAGGGTATGGAAGACAAAAAGTGGCCATCTGCTTTTCTGCTTTCAGAAAAGTACAAAAGCAGGTTTTACGTGTATGTAACATGCAATTTTTGACGTTTCTACTTTTCTGCTACCTCAAAAGCAGAATGGCATTTTATTATAGAATGCATTTTTCTACTTTCGGCTTTTCTGCTACTACAAAAGTAGTTTTACTTTTCCTCGTTTTGATGGCGGCCGAAAAGTGAACATCTGCGTTCTACCTGTCAAACAAGGAGGAAAGTGGATTCAATGTTTTGGCGAAAACTGTGAATTCAAATTTTCTGTTTTTATGTGATAACGGAAAAGCAGATTTTACATAGGTGGCCGAAAAGTGGCCATCTGCTTTTCTGTCCTCAGCGGGCAGTGAATGGGGTCATGAACCTGTAGGTTACGACCATTTCCGTTCTGGGGGAGTAAAAACGTATAGAAACCAATACTTAGCTATGCTTTCTGCGGTCCAATCCTATACGGCAGTATCAGTGTCCCTACCGTTCTGACAGCAGAAAAGCAGATGTCCACTTTTCGTCCTCCATAGTCAATAGGCAGGGACTTTGTTTTCCAGACTATTCGATTTTTTTGGGGGGGGTCTTGCCACGTGTCGGCCAAGCCACAACACCTCCCTGCACCAAAATAACACTTCAGAAACAGCCGAAAC